CTTCTCCTCCAACGTGGCTACATCGTCAAAGCCACTGTTCGTGACCCAGGTCAGTATTGCATTTTCCTTCAATTTTTTTGATCTTCCTTGATGAATTTTGTAATCCCAAGGTCGTTTTCTCCTGTCTACAGACTACAGAGACTCATTTCTTTAAAAATTGGCAATTCAAGAAAGATATTTTTTTTTTTCCTTTTTTACTGCTACTTACTATAGTAATAGGAGTACTTACTAATTCTGTGAGTCTATGACTGTCTGAATATGTGATAGATGATCCCAAGAAAATAGGGCACTTACTTGCACTCGATGGCGCTAAACAAAGACTTTGTTTATTCAAAGCAGAGTTATTAGATGAAGGGTGCTTTGATTCTATATTGGATGGGTGTGAAGGTGTTTTTCACACAGCTTCCCCTGTTATTTCTTCATCTACTGTCACTGATCCTAAGGTTTACCCCCCATATCTTCTTTTTCTTGTTTTCCTGTCTGGAACCATGTAGTAGTAGGTTAAGTGTATGTATATCTTCCCCATGTTTCAGGCAGAATTGATCGATCCTGCTGTCAAGGGGACTCTTAATGTTCTTAAATCGTGCACAAAAGTTCCTTCCATCAAGAGAGTAGTTGTGACATCTTCAATAGTTGCAGTTTCATTCAATGGAAAACCATTGACTCCTGATGTTGTGGTGGATGAGACTTGGTATTCCGATCCAGCTTTCTGTGAGAACTCCAAGGTGTATACTCTGTTTTCTACCTGAGAATTTCTTCTTTTTCTATCCTGGTGATGGTAATCACGAGTTAGGCCACGCTCACTCACACATTTCCTTTATTGCTTGTATGGTAGTAGTGGCTAAACATTAGTAGTTCTCTAAAATCTTTGTACTTCTCCAGCTTTGGTATATGCTTTCAAAGACATTAGCTGAGGAGGCTGCTTGGAAGTTTGCCAAGGAGAACAGGCTTGATTTGGTTACAATAAATCCAGGATTTGTGATTGGTCCTATTTTACAGCCTACTCTAAATGCCACTAACAGAGTCATGTTGAACCTTATAAATGGTATGCTTCCTATTCTATTGAGTATGCAATTTTCTTTTCCCTTGATTTTCAAGACCTCATGCATCCTCATCTTGTAATCATTTCTGAAAAATTCAAAACAAAGAAAAAGATTATACTTATATTTCCTCTACATTTCAATCAATTGTTGTTTGTGTGCAAAACTTGGATATGGTCTAACTATATATTGTCTGTCAGTGTCACAACAGTTCTGGTAGTTACTTCCACAGTACATTGTTTTGTTTCTTAAACTAAGTTTCCTTGTCAAATACTAGATTATATCTTCCTTTGGTGCCCTGAAGCATGAACCAAAAATTTTGACATCATTTGGATGCAGGAGGCACACCCCCACCTTTTGATAGTTTAGTGGCCGTTGATGTTCGAGATGTTGCACATGCACATATTCAAGCATTTGAGATTTCTTCAGCTAGCGGCCGATACTGCCTGGTTGAAAGAGTTGCTCACATTTATGAGACTTTGAAGATGTTACATGAACTATACCCTTGTTTGTACCCCGATGAAAAGTAAGTTATGTTATCCTCTTGATAATATTGGATTTTGAAATGCAAATGCTTCATTGATAAGATTCATAATTAAGAAGTAATTAAGAAGCAGAGAACATAAATTGCAGTAAATCAAGTGTTAATCTGACTCGAGAATTGAATAAATAGAATTCAGAGAAGACTCAAAAATTGTCTCTCAATTCATTACAGAGACAAAGATAAACCTATTGAGGCAACGTACCAGGTATCCAAGGAGAAGGCAACGAGCTTGGGTATTAAATTCATTCCTTTAGAGGTGAGTTTGAAGGACACTGTTAAAAGCTTCAAGGATAAGGGTTTCTTGAGCATCTGAGTTTTGTACTTCATTTTCCATACGTGTCTGTTTTTCATCTTTACGTTGTACTGAGTCACATCCACCTTCATGTGTGTCACATACGGATGTTGAATAAAGGACTTTCTGGACTTTCAAACATATCAGATTTAAGCAGTTGAGTAACATATAAGTTCTCAAACCAGGAAGCGAGTTGGTACCTCACTAACTTAAAAATTTTAATTTAATATCAAAATTAAAACTTCAAATATTTATATAGTTAAGTAACTTAACCCTTCAATGTATCAAAGTATTTAAGTACTCTTAACAAATCGAGCGTTAAAAAATCAGCCTTTAACTGACGGTGGCTGTTACTCTTCGTCAGTCAATGCCATTAAAAATAGGTTAATTCCCATATGGCCCCTTTAACTTCTAATTTTAAAAATAAATAGTTCCTAAACTTTATAATATTTAAGATAATTTCCCACTAAACAAATTTTAAATTCTAAAGCATTTAACTACCTACTCATTTTTTTCCCAAAAGAAATAATGATAATAATAAAAAAGAAAAACTACCCATTTTCATAGGTCTCCCCTCACAACACCACAACCACCATTGATTCTCCCTTCTAAAATAGTATTATAAATTTAAATTATGTGCAGTTTAAGGACCATTATTTTGGAAATATGAAAAGAAACATATGGAGACTATAGTAATCCATTTTCTAATGACATTGACGGACAAAGTAAAAAAGGCCTATTTCTAACTATTCCATTAGTTTGAGGGCTTAGGATCATAAAGCTAAATTAATTTGAAAGTTTAGGGGCTTCAAGCAATCCATTATCTAGTCCCGTTCATTCTTGGCCACTAGTACAGAGCGAAGCAGAAACATTTACTCTTACATTGACTCAGTAAGAGATGAGTGGGGAAGGAAAGGTCGTGTGCGTCACCGGAGCATCGGGATTCATAGCATCTTGGCTTGTAAAGCTTCTGCTCGATCGTGGGTACACCGTTAAAGCCAGCGTTCGTGACCCAAGTCAGTTCTTTCCACCATGAATTTAAATATGCACTCTGTCTTCTTTATATGTTTTTGATTATAATCTGCCATAATGGTTTCTGGGTCTGCTTGAATTGTGTGACAGATGATCCGAAAAAAACAGAGCACTTACTTGCCCTCAAGGGAGCTAAGGAAAGACTTCATTTATTCGAAGCAGAGTTATTAGATGAAGGAAGTTTTGATTGTGTAGTGGATGGGTGTGATGGTGTTTTTCACACAGCTTCCCCTGTGTTTTTTGGTCGTCCTGATTACCAGGTTCATCTCTTAATATTTGCATCTCTGTAACTGTGTCGTTGATGGATCTAAATCTAATAAAAAGGCAATTCCAATTTCAGGCGGAATTAATCGATGCAGCGGTGAAGGGAACACTTAATGTTCTCAAGTCATGTGCAAAATTTGCATCAACAAAGAGAGTAGTTCTGACATCTTCAACGGCTGCAGTTTTCATCAATGAAAAACCTCTCACTCCGGACGTGGTAGTTGATGAGACTTGGTTTTCTGATCCAGCTTTCTGTGAGAGATCTAAGGTGTATATATGATTTATCATTACGTTTACCTTGTCTTTTATATATATATATATATATAGAACCGTATTTTTTAAAATAGATTAAAGTTTTAATTTTAAATTATATTGTTTATTTAATTAAATTTAATTTAAAATTTAAAATTTTATTTTATTAAATATTGATATTTTGAATTTAAAAACTAATTATATTAGAATCTATAATTAGTTACGAAATCCAAATATCAACATTTAATTAGATAAATTTTTTAATTTTAAATTGAAATTTTAACT